CCTGACCAGGTCCCAGGGATTTATCCACCATTATGCATTTTAAGATGTTCAGCACTACCTCTTTTGTAATATTTCAGGATGTCGCTATTTATTTCCCCATGTTCTCTATCTTCTATTTCCTTCTCTACAGTAAACACTGATACAAAATACTTGTTTAGTATCTCCCCCATCTTCTGCAGTTCCACACATAGGTGGCTTTACTGATCTTTAAGGGGCCCTATTTTGCCCCTTTTGTCCTTAATGTATTTGTAGAATCCCATTGGATTCTCCTTAACCCTGTTTGCCAAAGCTATTTCATGTCCCCTTTTGCCCTCCTGACTTCCCTCTTAAGTATACTCCTACTGCCTTTTCACACTTCTAGGGACTCACTTGATCCCTGCTGTCTATACTTGACATATGCTGCCTTCTTTTTCTTGACCAAAACCTCAATTTCTGTAGTCATCCAGCACTCCCTACACCTACCAGCCTTGCCCTTCACTCTAACAGGAAAATAGTGTCTCTGGACTCTCATTATCGCATTTTTGAATGCTTCCCATTTTCTAGCCATCACTTTACCTGTGAACATCTGCCCCCAATCAACACTTGAAAGTTCTTGCCTAATACCGTCAAAATTGGCCTTCCTCCAATTTAGAACTTTAACTTTTAGATCTAGTCTATCCTTTTCCATCACTATTTTAAAACTAATAGAATTATGGTTTCTGGCCTCAAAGTGCTCTCCAATGACACCTCAGTCATCTGCCCTGTCTTATTTCCCAAGAGTAGATCAGGTTTGCACCTTCTGTGGTAGGTACATCCATATAGTGAATCAGAAAATTCTCTTGTGCACACTTAACAAAATCCTCTCCATCCAAGCTGTTAAAACTGCGGTAGTCCCAGTCTATGTTTGGAAAATTAAAATCCCCTATCATAACCACCCTATTATTCTCTCAGATGACTGAGACTTCTTTACAAACTCATTTCTCAATTTCCCGCTGACTACTGGGGGGTCTGTAGTACAATCCCAATAAGATGTTCATCCCTTTCCTGTTTCTCAGTTCGACCCAAATAACTTCTCTGGATGTATTCCCAAGAATATCTTCCCTAAGTACGTCTGCAGTGTTAGTCCCTAATTGAAAGTAGCACTACCCCCCACGACCTTGCTCCCCATTCTGTCCTTCCTATACCATCTATACCCTGTAACATTAAGCTGTCAGTCCTGTCTATCTCTGAGCCATGTCTCTGTAATTGCTATGATAACCAGTCCCATGTTCCCAATCATGCCCTGAGTTCACCTTTGGATGGTGGGAGGAAACCAGAGCAGCACGCCAAAACCCACACGGACACAGGGAAGATGTGCAAACTAGACGCAGATAGTCACCTAAGACTGGAATCGATCTCAGGTCCCTGATGCTGTGAGGCAGCAGTGCTAACCACTCAGCCACCGTGCTGCCCTATTCTACATTGTCTGATCTTATATTGGGCTTATATCCTCTTTGATCGGTAATGCAACTGCACCACCTTTTCCTTTTTTGTCTGTCATTCCTATATACTGAATAACCCTAGAGGACAGTTCACGTCCTTGGTTACCCTGCAGCCATGTCTCCATAATCCCATCAATATCACTTGTTCATAGCTACTGGGGGATTAACTCATCCACTATATTTCAAATGCTCTATGCATTCAGGCATCTTAATGTTCTTTGTCCCATTCCCATTCTTTTTTTTTTTACTGTGGTATTGTTTGATTCTAGCTTTTGCTTCCTCTGCCTGCCATTTTTCTTTTATTCCCCTTTCTGTCTTTTGTTCTTGTCCTTGGTTTCCATTTCCTCTTACTCCTCACTTAGGTTCCTTCTCCCATGCCAATTTAATTTAAACACTCCCCAATTACTTTAGCAAATATTCCTCCTAGGCTTCAGTCCCAGTACTGCTTAGGTGTAACACGTCCAGTTTGTACTGGTCCCACCTTCCCCAAACTAGTTCCAATTCCCCAGGAATCTGAAATTCACCCTCTCACACATTCATCCAATTATATCCTGATGTTTCTACTGTGATCAACACATGGCAATGGTAATAAACCATGGATCACCACATTTGAGGTCCTACTTTTCAACTTGCTTCCTAGCTCCTTGAATTCTGCTTTTAAAAACCTCATCACTCTCCCCCTTCAAAATGTCCTACAGCTGCTCTGAGACTTCTTTGACTGTAGCATTCTGGAGGCAACATACCATCCTAGAGACTAGGTTGCAGCCACAGAAATGCCTATCTATTCCCCTTATAATTAAGTGACATATGACCATTGCATTTCCACACTTTTTGTTCCTTCCCTGTGTGGTAGGGCCAACTGTGTGCCATAAATTTGGCAGTTGCTGTTTGGCCCTGAGAGGCCATTCTTCGATCAGTATCCAAAATGATATAACAGATTTTCAGGAGAATGCGCACAGGGGATTCCTGCACTGCCTGCCATGTTGTCCCTTCCTGCCTGTGGAGTCTTAGGTTACTCTCGCTATACTCCCTTCATGATGAGAATATCCTTCCTTAGGCAAGGGAACCAAACTGCACTCGGTATTCCACATGCAATCTCGCTAAGGTTCTGTCCAAATGAAGCAATACATCTTTACTCCTGCATAAAGATACTCTTGCAATAAATTCCAAAATGCCACTTGCCTTTCTAATTGCTTGCTGCATCCTTCCATCTTAGGTTTCAGTGATTTATGTGCATGGTCACTGAGGTCCCTTTAAACATCAACACTTCCCAATTTCTCTCCATTTACATACTCAATATTCTGTTTCCCCTACCAAAGTGGGTAACCTCCTACATTATATCCCATCTGCTATGTTCTTGTCTGCTCACTCATGCCGTTGCATTATACAAAACTACATGATAGCTATCAAGGCAACTTCAGTTAACTGTTCCCAGTGTCTCTTTTACCAATGAGATTTAAGAATTGGGAAATAAACTCAACTCTCAGAACTGAAACACACAAAAACATAAATTTCTGGAGAAACTCAACAGATCTGGCAGCATTTGTTAAGCGAATGTAAAGTCAACATCTCAAGTTCAGTTACCCTTTTCAGAGCTTTCTCTTAATGTCAACATTGAAGAAGGTTCACTGGACTCCAGACATTAACTCTGCTTTCTCTCCTCAGAAGCAGCCAGACTTGGTAGGTTTCTCCAGCAATTTCTGTTTGTCTGTTAGATCTTCAGCATCTGAAATTCTTTGTTTCCTTTTAGTGGTTGCCCTCTGGGCAATTAAAGATCACCAACAAATGTTGGCTGAGCCAGCAATGCCCACATCCTGTGAATGAATTTTAAAAAAAGTAGCTTCCACTACTCCCATGTGTGCCACACTGCAACATTAATTGGCAATCCTAATTTGGGATGTCCGAGTAATTCTTCACATACTCAGGATTATTTGAATTTTGAAAGCACGTGCTGGTAGGATGGTCAGCTCCATGCTTGTTGTGAATATCTGAAGGATATGCTGTTTGATATAATCTGCCCATCTTTGTGACATATGACTTATACATAGTTTCACAGTAGCACTGAAATTCATCTACCATGTTACTCATTAGTCTTTTTGGCCTGATGGCAGAATCCTGTTAGTGGTGAACACGATTTACGTTGTTACACCATAGTAGTAGCCTGAAACTGCTTGCTTCACTTCTTGGTCACGCAAGTGTGGCACACTTGTATGTATTGGAAGTTGCATATATTAATACACATGACGCTTTCTTTGCAGACAGAAATAATGTGCATCCATGGAGCCTGTTTCAACTCAACTAGTATGGCATAGTCATTCTTTGGTTCATTTCTCAGGGCAATGCCTTAACCAATCAGTTAATCTGCCTGTTTTAAAATGTAAACAAAGTTTGGCAGTTAACAAAAACTGAAAGAACTGTAGATGCTGGAAAAGCTCAGCAAGTCTGGCAGCATCTGTGGAGAGAAATCAGAGTTAAAGTTTCGGGTCCAGTGACTCATCCTCAGAGCTGGCAATTAAGTCAGTCATCATGTAACTGCCATATTCTCCATGGAAATATATCTACCAATCGAAGACTACTGGGTAACCAATCAATACCCTTCACTCATACCATATAAATGTTAGCTTCCCAATTTACATTGGTACTTTTTGTGTATTGTCTTGCAGTCATCAAGACAATAAGCTTCAACAAAATGTCTGGTTCAGCAATATTAAAACTCTTTATCTTCATAATGCACATTCTTTGTAAGGCACAAGGCCAAAAGAATTTCGCAGTTTCCAGCTTCTTGGTGTACTATAACTGAAAGGCTTTTGTCCGTTGTTTCTGTGGTGGCTGCCCCAAACTTTGGTGTATCCTTCAGCAAGTAGACCTGAATTTAGTAATTTGCCATTTTGCAGCACTTGGCTGAGGACAACTCTGCACTGGAATATGAGCAAATTTCAGACTGACCAAACAGCACCTTTCACTAAGTTGATAGTCTTCCAGACACTGTTAGTAATCAAGAGACAACAAGGTGCAGAGCTGGATGAACACAGCAGGCCAAGCAGCATCATAGGAGCAGAAAGGCTGATGTTTCGGGCCTAGACCCTTCACTCAGGATATGTCTCTGGGAACAGTCCATGGAGCATAATCATGTTTCAAGAACTGCTTAGGAATGTAACTAGACAAAAACCACTATATTATTCCAAATCTTCTTTGCAAAGGCACATTCCAAATAAAAACAGAAATTGCTGGAGAACCTTCAGAACTGAAGGGTCACTGGATTCAAAATGTTAACTCTGTTTTCTCTTCATGGATGCTGCCAGTTTCTCCAGCAATTTCTGTTTTTGTTTGTTTCAAATCTCCTACATTGGCAGTTCTTTACTTTATGCACATTCCACAATGAGTTGGATAACAGTCTCTTCCCACAAGGGCAAATTGCACACTGGGTGAGACTCCAACAGGAAAGGTTGTTCTCAGCACAAGCCAAGCTGCATTGATTCTTGTAAGTTCTGATTATGAAGCAGTCTGCTCGAGAATGTGTCCCACAAGATTTACCAACACTTTTTCCCATTACATCCTGAGCATTTCTTGATGTGATTTGATTTATTTATTTATTGTCATGTGTACCTAAGTACAGTGAAAAGCTTTGTTTATGAGCAATAAAGGCAGATCATAGTAAGCAAGGACATACAGATAGATCATAGGGTGAAAAAAAAACTTAAGAGGCATACAGGTTACATTGCACAGGGCAAGATCAACATTAACAAGAGCAGCATTATTCGAAGTTAGTCCATTCATCAATCTAATAATGGCTGGAATGAAGCTGTTCCTGAACCTACTGGTCCGTGTATTCAAGCTTCTGTATTTTCTGCCATACAGAAGTGGTTGTAGGAGAGCATTACTGGGGTGCGATGGGTCTTTGATGATGTTGGCAGCCTTTCCACAGCAAAGAGCCGTGTAAATGGAATCCATGGATGGAAGGTTGGTTTCTGTGATGGTCTGGGCTGTGCACACAACCTTCTGTAGTGAACAGGGAGGCTTGGTCCTGGGTTCATGAGTGCTTCCACTACCGGAGATGGTCATCCTCTTATTCCTGCATCCCTCCTGAAGGTAGTGCCCAACTCCATATTTGGGATGAACATGCTAAATCCATAGTTTTCAACTTGGGAGTTAAGGGATCTGGGGTTTCCTGGAGAAGATGGTCACAGTATTATTCAAATTCACTTTATGATCAGTACAGACCTGAGCACTCAAAACTTCCAGTATTGTTGTAAGGTTAACTTTTCTTTTGAACAGTGAGATCCTTAATTGAACGTGCTGCGAGTTAGCAACAAAAAAGAAACTAAGCAGTTAAGTTGATATTGCAAACAGAAAATGCTGACAAGTTAGTCACCATTTCCAAAGGGGAAAGACAAGTTAATGTTTTATCTGAGTGTGGATAGTTTTCAGTGGGAGTGAGATGGGATCTGTGACCTTCCGTGTGAGTTGCATAGAAGTTAATGAATAACTTCAGTGTGCAAGGATTAATTTAGTTTGGGGGACTCATGCATGATCAATCTAATCAAGGAGTTGAGATTTTTACTACCTGTAATTTGTTACACTCATCCCGGATTTTTTTTTTTGTCAGTGTCACTGTTGAAGCATGCCAGTCTGAAGTCAGGAATGTATAAGAATTTGTCATCCCTTCAATAATATTTGGGAATTTTTCTGTGAAAACTTGAAGTTCTTTACAATTTTACAATTTTATAATCTCCTACTTTGACTGTGCAATATTAGTTGAGGTAGAATTGGATTTTGTGGTCATAAGTTCTGCACAGTTGTGCTTTCTTTTTTTTTTCAGTGCAATTTGCTCAAAATTATCCTGACCAATACAATAGATCAAAGAATTTCAAACATATTTCAAGTTTCCACCCACAAAGTTAGCCATGCCCCAAAATGAATGAATCACCATTGTGAGTATCTGCTAATTGTATTCATTTGTAGTTCTTCAAGGAGGCTCTTCACATTAAATGTTATAGTTTAGGGTGCAAGGAGACTATTAGGAATGCTTTAAAAACATTTCAATACCTCTTTTGAATTCATTAAAAAGCTGAGAAGTAAATCATCTTCAGTTACTCACCAGAATTTGATCAAAATGCTTCTATTTGTGTGATAAACCTCTTTTCATTGTTTCCTCCATTGCAAAAGGAATTAACTACAATTCTAAAGTGCTTAATGGTTTGTAAATATTTTAAAACATTGTTGTGAAAGAAGCAATATCAATTCAAGTCCATTTTTCTATCATTTGCATTAATTAAAATATACCGGGTTACTCTTAAGCATATCAAGGAACATTTTAAATGCAGTTTTTGAAAAGATTACTCTAATACATTATCAAATCACACTGATGTATGGAAAATCTTACTTTCAGCAAAATAAATTTGAGCAGAAACTTCTGAAAACTTGAGCAATTTGCATTTCAATCTAAAATCACAGCCAAAGCAGAAATTCTCTACCTATGGAAAAGCAAATTTCCTATTTTGTCTTGTGGTTGCTGCATGTTGTATATTCCAGTCAATGCGACTGTAGTTCTGAAATTTGATATGGTAAAGAGCTACGTATAATAAATATGACTTTTTTTTTTACACGAGTGCCTTGACTAAGGAGGGTTATCTGCCTGCCATGTGTTTGGAAATTCTTGAGCCCTGGAAATTTAGCCCCTAAAGACTGGGAAACTTAATTTTATTGAATGTATACCTCTTACTTGATGGTTTACTTGAAGTTTCATTGGTTTCATGGAAGTTTTGAAATCAGTTATTGTGTAGATGAATTTGAAATCGGATACATTAGAAGCAGGAATAGGCTATATGGTCCCTGGTCTACCATTCAATAAGATCATTGGTAATCTAATTATGGCTTCAATTCCATGCTTGTGTCCACCCTTTATAACCCTAGGCTCCCTTGTCGATCAAAAATCTGACCAATATGATCTTAAATATATTCAAAGACCCACTGCTGTCTGGACTACTGTCTTCTGTATAGAAAATTCCAAAGATTAACAGCCCTCAGAGTAGAAACTCCTCATCTTGACCTTAATGGGAGACCAATTAATCTGAATCCATGTTTCCAGCTTGTACATTCCCCAATGTGGGGAAACATCCTATCACATCTACCTTGTCAGCCCCCCTCAGAATTATATCTCAACAAGATCACCTCTCATTTTAAACTCCAATGAGTATAAAACCACCACCATTCTTCATACAAACACCCTTTTATTTTAGGAATCAGTTTGACATTCTTTGAACCACGTTTGATTCATTATATCCCTCTTTAAGTAAAGATACCATAACTGTATACAGTACCCTAGGTGTTGACTCAACAATGCCCTGTAGGGGGTTTGTAATTGTAAATTCCAGCAATATTTCCCAACTTTTAAGCACCACCCACTTGCAACAAAGGTTAGCATTCCATTTAACTTCATAATTATATGCTGCATGTGCATATTTTTCAGATTGAGGTACTTCCAGATTCCTCTCTTGCACAGCATTTTTTATTCTATTTAAGTAATATTTTACTTTTTTATTCTTCCTACCAATGTGATAATATCTCAGTTTCACATATTATACTCCATTTATCAAATGTTTGCCTTCTCACTTTGTCCATATCTCTTTGCAGATTTTTAGTGTCCACTTCACAACTTGCTATCTGATCTATCTTCATTTTACCAGCAAATGTAAAAATACATTCTGTCTTGACGTCCATGTTGTTCATACAAGTTGTAAGTTGTTGAGACTAATCCCTAGTTGCAGCCTGCCAACCTGAAAATAACCCGTTTAGCCTATCTATTTTCTGTTAGTTAACCAATCCTCTAACCACAAACATATTACCCAATATAATGGGCTACTGTGTAGTAACTCAATACAGAGAGGGCGGGTGTCCAGAATGGGAGGATGTTTGTGTTCTGTGATAGGGTTGTGGGATGGATTGGTGTTGAGTCTGATTTAGTTGGAGGTGTTGGGGAGGGGTTTTGTGAGCAGAAAGGGGAGCATGTCAAGCAGTAGGGGACGGGTGTGTTGGATTGGGTCTGGGAAAAGAGTAAAGGGATGGTTTAGTGTAGAATTTGGAAAGTAGGAGAGCCCAGCAGCAGCAGACTGAGGTCTGATCTGGAGCAGCGGAGAAGGGGACGTGCAGCAGTATGCGAAGGATGGGACATTAGGTCTGGAGTGGGGAGGGGATAAACTCAGCAACAGGGTTGGGGAGGGTCACTTTACAGTCAGGGTGTGGGGAGGTAAGTAGTTGGGGAGATGCAGTTGAGGGTGTGTGAGGTAAATATGGGGTCAGTTAAATAGTTTCTCAGAAGTTAGACTATGTATTTAATAGTTTAACCTTTCCTGAATAACTGTTTGCTTAATTTGTTCAGAACCCTCCAAAATCTCAGTTTAGATGGAGACATTCAGAGGGTTACATGTGTAGATGAATTGTCCAACTGAATCTGCAATTTGCCAGGCAATTCCTTCAGAATCTGCTGCAATGGGAATTCCTTGGGGTCTCCATGCACAACACCTATGCACAACACCTATCTATGCTGGAATAATGACAGTCTGGCCATCGGAAAATCTGTGCCATGAAAGCACACAAATCACCTGGAATTGTAGGAACAAATTACTGCAGAAAGTTGGAATCTGTACTGAAAATAACAAATGCTGGAGATTATAGCAGGTCAGACAGCATCCATGGAGAGAGAGCAAGCTAACATTTCAAACCTAGATGACTCTTCATCAACGAAACATTAGTTTGCTGTCTCTCCATGGATGCTGTCTGACCCACTGTGATCTCCAGCATCTGTTGTTTTCACCAGGAATTGTCCTGGCACTGGAAATGACAATGGCAACCCAACCCTGTCAACCCTGAAAAGTCATCCTTGCTAATATCTGGGGACTGATGCTAAACTTGAATGAGCTATGCCATAGACTAGTCAAGCATCAGCTTGGCATATTTGTAATCATGGAATTATATGTTACAGTGTCCTGGGTACCACCATCATCATCCCTAAGTGTGCCCTGTCCCACCACCAGGACACAACCACCAGAGATAGCAGCACAACTGTATACAGTCAAGAATGAGTTTCTCTGAGCATCTTTAACATTGACTCTTGACCCCGCCCATGAATCGTTACCTTTTATTGAACACCACTTAGAAGAAACAGTGAGCATGACATGGGCATAGAATGTATTCTAGATGGGAGACCATGAAAGACTTGGTAACATTTTGTCACAGGTGTATCTGTTTGTGAACGTATCAGTAGAAGTGACCACTGTGCAAATTTCTGTCTTCACATTGAGAATACCCTTCATCATTTGGTGTGGCTCTATCACCATGCTAAATGGGATAGATTTTGAACAGATATAGAAACTCAAAACAGGAAATCCTTAAAGCGCTCTATGCCATCAGGAACAGAATTGTATTCAACCACAATCTGTAAACGCATACCTGGCATATCCTCCACTCTACCAATACTCGGGATTGATAGATTTTTGAAGGAGAATAGAATCAGGATAGCAGAACTGAGGTAGAAGATCCACTGTCAGGCTCTGTTGTGTAGTGGTAATGTCCCTGCCTCCTCCAGAGGCACGTAATAGTATCTCTGAACAGATTGATTAGAAAATAACTAAAAGATCAATTGTAACCTGGATACCTTGATATCCTACTACTTCTGCTGTTATGTTCAGCCAGTTATCACTTTTAATTTAATTCAGGAAAATAAAATGCATTTTACTAGTGAAACAAAATACTAAGTAATTCTGTTTTAAAAGGAAACTGTTTGACGTTTTACTTACTACATTAATAAGTAGATAAATAAATATTTAGATAAATAATGAGGTTTAAAGTGTAAAAGAATATATATGTAACATTTTTGTTCTTACTGAAGGATAAAATGTTAACTCTGTAACTGATAACTTAAAAGCAAGAAATTCAAAACATGATTCAAATGATCAGCTAAGATTAAAAAAGCAAGGGATTGTTTAAATGACTTGTTACAATTATGCAGATCTATTGCCTCATTCAGCTTTTGGAATCAAAGACAACTGATTTATGAATTTGATATTCTGTAACATAGTAGGGAAAAGTACATGTTAAGGGTAAAAACCAAAAGAGAAATGTTACTTCAAAATTCTCCTGTTTCCATAATTCAAAATCTGAAAGTTGCAACATCTTATTTATAACAAACTCAAATGCCAGCAACTTGGGCCATTTGATGCCTGTTTAAAGAACTGAAAAAAAAAAACAACTTGCAATTATGTAATGACAGATTATCACACCTGGTAAGTACCATCTCCGACTTGGAAACAGTATTATCTTACTTAGCCATTACCTCTGTCCCCATCAACCCGTTCTGTTTGTTGGCAATTAAATCAAAAATCTATTAAATCAAAAATCTACAAAATCAACTATAGCCTCAACTCACCACCCATATGCATTCTCCTCCAGCTTCATATTATTATCTTTGTCTGTTCACTCTCCAAGTCTATCTCCCATCATGCACTCTTTCACACTCTCAGTGGTGTACAAAGTTTTTTTTAAACAGGTTGGCCCTTTCAGTTGAACTAGTTCTGAAGAAGGTTCACTGGATCCAAAATGTTAACTCTGCTTTCTCTCCACAGATGCTGCCAGACCTGTGGAGATTTTCTAGCAATTTCTGTTTTTGTACTTGATTTCCAGCATCTGTAGTTCTTTGATTTTTCTTGGCCCTTTCAGTTCTTGCCTTGTAAATCCTTTTACAGCGTCAAAGTCTCCTGAAAATGAATATCAATGTTATTACTCACCTTGAAACAATTTTAAGTATTAAATTTGAGGCATATGCTGTCAATCATCCAATAATATAAAAATATACAGCATGACAAACAATTTACAGCTTAGAAAGAGGCTGTTTTTACCAACAGATAGTGTTTACCCTCCTCGTATTTTTTCATCTAACCCCATTAACATACAATTTCATTGATTTCTCCCTCTTATCTAACATCCTCTTTAAATGCATCTGTGCTCATTGCCTCAATTTATGGTAGCAAGTTTCAGATTCTAACTATGCTAGGTAAAGATGTTTCTCCTGACTCCATTATTGTCTTCCGTCACTTTTATGGCCCCATTTCTGTTATGGAATTATCTTCTGTAGATCTGCTGTGCCAAACCCTTCCATTATCTTAAAAATTATTTCAGAAGGTCAGTAGGTTTGGCAACGTCTGTGGATAGAGAAACAGAGTTAACATTTCAAGTCCAAATTACTCCAAAAAATTTCTTCAGAGATGCTGTCAGACCTGTTGAATATTGCCCACACGTTGTTTTAAAGTCTGACAACAGTATTCCTCACTGCTGCTGAGTCTCGGCTAAAATTATACAATAAAATACTATACTGGGACTTTAGTCAACAGTGTTTTGGCAACATCATTAAGATATGATACATACACACGAAGTACTAACACTGCCACAAACCATGATGTGCTGCAGTTTTAAACAACAGATAGAAGTTTAGTGTTAGTACTTCGTGTGCAAGTCATTTCTTTCTATGTTTCTTTTAGACTCTCTTGCTTCTATCATCTAGTTCAATACAAGAGATGGTTTAACAAATTTTTTAATCACTGGATTATTGGCATCACTTTTGTGAAAATGCATAAAAGCTAGGAAGTGCCTGCCTTCTACCAGTAAGTTTGAGGACTTTTTAGGCGTACACAAATTTTGTGATTTCTGGTGGAATTTGCAGTCAATCTTCCAGAATCAGGAGTCAGAAATGTGGTCTCAAAGCTATGAATGTAAGAGGATTCAGATAAATCTAATGTATTATGCCTATTCCAAAAACAAAATTAAACCAACTTGTTTGGGCATTAATGACACTCCTCCGGGTAAGTGGGATCTTAACCCTGACTTTCTTGCACAGAAGAAAGCACATTACCATTGTACCACAAGGCCCTCAAACATGCCTATTCTATGTCAAGGTGATGACAATCAAGTTAATTACTACCCTGGTCATTGGAGCTAAAGATTAGACTCCGCTTTCATTCTTCTAAATGAACTGTGCCAGCTTCCACCTCATAAGCAGCAAGTGATGATTGGTAGCCTTATGATTATTAAAGGGGATACAGCTGTATATGCATGTTTCTCATGCCTGAAATTTTCTGGCAAAGTTGTATTTCAGCTGTGACATTCCTGCTTTGTATCTATTTACCACTGTGACTACAATAATACTGTACTCTGAAACCAGTGGGTCTAGCAACTGTGTCCAAACACCATGTGTCTGTTTTATTTGTCACTAACTGTAAAAAGATTAATTGCTCATAAAAGGTTAGATCACAGAGCAGTACAGCACAGAAACCAGCCCTTTGGCTCACAATGTCTATGCCAACCATAATGCCATTCTAAACTAATGCCATCTGTCTGTACATGATCCATATCCCTGTGTTCCTTGCCTGTTCATGTGTCTGTCTAAATGTCTCTTAAACTTTGCTAACATAACTATTTTTACCACTCCCCTGGCAGCGTGTTCCAGGCAGCTACACCTTATTTGCTTTAAAAAAAACTTTCCTCACACATCTCCCTTAAACTTTTCCCCTCCCACCTTAAACCTATTTCCACCTAGTATTTGACATTTCCACCACGCAAAAAGACTACGACTACCTACCAATTAATGTCCCTTCTAATTTTATATACTTTTATCAGATTTCCGGTCAGCCTCCGATGTTCTAGTGAGTACAATCCAGATGTGTGCAACCTCTCCTTATAGCTAATACCCTCCAATCCAAGCCACATCCGGGTAAACTTCTTTTGCACCCTCTCCAAAACCTCTACTTCATTCCTGTTGTGTGGGGACCAGAAAGTTTGAGACACTTGGAGTTTACTTTGAATTTTAAGAATTACACAAGTCATGTTTAAAAATAAATATAAAGAAGAGTTAAACTTATATATATGACAATTCTCTCATTTAATATTTAAAAGAATTTCTTTAATGAAATATCAAATGGTCTGCTTGGAGACCACTGAATTAGTTTCGAGCCAATGCTAAAGTTATATGACAAATTAAGCCACCTGCAGTAATAGTTATCGTGCCAAAATGTGTCAGGACCAAAGATGATGGGGGTTGTGGGCAAATTTGGAGTTTTGGTCTAAGGCTGATCCAAAGCTTCTAACGTAAAAATAGTACTATAGTGGCAATCTTAGCAAAATATTTTAGTGCAAACGTTTCAATAATTACCATTATTCTGTGTATGTATAATGCCTCCTTGTCTTGCAACTGGTTGTCCCCCGTGGTCAAACATGAGTTCAAATCCAAAACCAGGACTTGATCATAGTAGCTTGTCAAGATTTGCTTCTGTAAAAAAAAAAGTGTACTTATGATAAATGACAATTCAATTACAACAAAGCCACTATTTCCCCTGAATGAACCAGGACATTTAACTCAGAATAATGTTTCCTTAATGTTCAAAGCTATTAAATACATAGGATGTGGGAGCAATTTTTCATTTGCAGCTGGAGACTGCACTAGAAAGTTAATATATAACCATGAGAAATGATCACGAAAGATTTGACCATTAAAAGTGGAGTTGTGTAATCGGATAATTTCTGTTGATTGCCAGCACACACTCGTGCTTTTATTTTTGTTCGCTTAGTTCGGTATTGAAAATGACATGCATACTTGTGCATATATATAAATCAAAAACAGACTTTTACGCTCATTATCTTCAGATTTGAATTTTATCATGTGGCCATATTCAAAAATGAACTGATGGAATTATTCTGTGAGACATACTAAGCAACCTTAGCCTCGCATTTCCATCACTTCGTCTTTTTTCTTTTTATTTCAACACTAGAATTACAGTCTCGTTTTGACACTTGTGGTCTAATTAGTAAATTGTATTTTTAATGGGGGGGGGGGAAAGGATCAAAATTAACTATTTGTTTTTTTTCTGAAAAATGCTTTAAATCTCAGTGACAAAAACAAAAGGCTAATAGGAGTAGTTTTAATTGGATTTCTGCCATCTGGTTTAAACTTCAGAAAGTTCTCGAGGCATTGGGGAAGACACTGAAAGACGTCAAAACCGGATGGGTGGCAACCCTTACCAGTCCTGGGCAAAGAGTTTCTGTGGAAGGTCTACTTTTTTTGCACAAAAAAAATGCAATGAAAGTGTATGAGGCGTTTATTTTATACAAACAGAAGCATTACATGATGAAAAGAGCATAGAAAAAGCAAAGTGGGGGTGGGGAAGATAACATGCATTTTTCCGCCATTGAGAGAGGGAAAGGGGGCGGGCAGCAGGAATGCGCTTTTGTCGTCAGCGGCCCGCCCGCCTTCCCTGTGGCCTATAAATTACAGCGACGCCATCTCTTCTATCCTTTAGCCTGCGTGTCAATCGAAGGGAGGTTTGCAGCTTTATTGCTGAACGGTAACTATCACATCAGAAAAATCGTGAAACTACCAGAAGCTTACCAATTGTTGGTTAGGATTAGATGCCGGTCTCCGTTATTTTGTAACATTGGATGAGGGTGGACTTTTAAACGCTTTTTTTCCGTATGAGTTCGACTGAATGGGACATTTTCAGAACGCCATCACTGCATTTTCGGCCTACTATAGTTAATCCGCTTTTGTAACAGCTAAAGTTGTGAATTCTTTGGGGGTGGGTGGTTCAGGTGTCGTGCGCGCGTTTAACCACCGCCATTTTCTTTCCTAAAGCCATTGAGGCAACTGCTTGTAAGTTTGTGTTTTAAATTTTTTTGTGTTGATATTGTTGTTGAAAGTAGAAATCTTTACGTTGTGGTTTTTTTTTTTTTGGTGCGTTTTTCTCCGTTCAATAGATGAAGGGGGGGGCCGCTCGTGATCGCGGCCTGGAAGGCGGCTTTTGTTGCGATGAGAATGTGCGGGGCTCCGACAATCCGTCTCAATCCGCGTTTATAAAATGGCCAACTGGCGATGTCCAACCGATTTTCAGTGGCCACTTGGTGTCTTCTAATTTTTCGGTGGTGCATTTCACGCAATTTTTGTTGCTTTTTGATCTGGTTTGGGTCCTTGTGTGGCAGATGAAGGAAGTGCGGCGGCTCCATTGTTCCGGCCTTGTCTGACGCAATAATGGCCTCTCGGAGTAAGTCATTTGTTCCGGCTTGGAAGTCGGGCACCGCCTCTGCCCCACTTCTTTATCTGAGAATCCATTTACTGTCGGACAACACGCTCCGACTCCCGGTTCTTTCTCATCGAAGCGAAAGCCCGATACGCTTTTTTTTCCTGACTCGTGGAGAGTGGTTTCGAGGAATTGGCCGTTTCAATTTTATAAGTTTATCTGGTTTCCGGCGATTTTGTCGGCCACATGCCTTCCAGCAGAAAGCAGCTCCCCACGCTTTCACCTCAACTACTTTCTACCTGGTAGAGAGCCATCTGGTGTTGGCTGAAATTCCAGTGTCTGGGCCCTCACTCACTCACTCCGCGAGTCATTTGCCACGTCCCCAACTGACTCACCGGCAGGATGTGACATCGCCTTCGCTCCGCGCTGACTCTTTCTGGCCCCCGATGAAACAGCATTTTTAAAATAAAATCATTCCCCCTTTTTTTAATGTTGTAGTGACGCTGGATCTGACTATTTTATTTGACAATAGACAAAACAGTTCAATATGACTTGCCTACGCGTCATTATCATGTGAAACCTCCCACATTAGGTATGCCTTCTGTTTAGGCAGTATCATGTTTGTGAAGCAATTTGATGATGTTCTGACTTTCCCCAACAGCATTCTCACGAACTCGAGATGGGCAAGGAAAAGACACACATCAATATTGTTGTCATTGGACATGTCGATTCTGGTAAATCAACAACCACTGGCCATCTCATTTACAAATGTGGTGGAATTGATAAAAGAACCATTGAGAAATTTGAAAAGGAAGCTGCTGAGGTTTGTTTGTGAAATACACTTTCTCTATGGGGATAATTGGCATGTGACTGTCATGGTTGCTTTTGTTGCATGGATATAAAGGGGATTGTTAGTAAATCTGTTACTGAATTGAGTTTGTACAGTATTGAAAAGTTTAATTAGTATTCCTGGGCTTATTTTCTGTTGCACACTCTAATTTTTTTATTCCTTTAGATGGGCAAAGGATCTTTCAAATATGCCTGGGTCTTGGATAAGCTGAAGGCTGAACGTGAACGTGGTATTACCATTGACATTGCTCTCTGGAAGTTTGAAACATCCAAGTACTACATCACCATCATTGATGCCCCAGGACACAGGGACTTTATCAAGAATATGATTACTGGAACATCACAGGTATGCAATCTGTACAGCAGCAGGTACCTGGTATCTTCGTCTGCTTTTTATATATGTCTAGGAACATACTGGCTTGTGTTAGCAGCATCTACCCATTCTTAAGATGACTATTTCCCAATCTAGTTTTCATTCCTGAGCTACATCTTTAATACAAGTAATATTGCTTAAGAATATATAGCATTGCTTTCCTGTTTTGTATGAATTTATTGTAGACTGCTCACTTTATTTTCATATCCTGGGGCAAATTGGTACCTTAATTCATTGTAATTAATACATGCTTGCAAATACTTAATCCTAGCACTGCTCCTCAACTAGTTCACTTTCAGGTTAGCAAACTGTCATCTTCAGAATTGATGTCCAACAAAGCCTGTTTTTAAGATTGCTGTTGTGAAGAGATTGACCCCTTAATTATCAATGGATCTGCTTTCTCCTAGGCTGACTGTGCTGTGTTGATTGTTGCTGCTGGTGTGGGTGAGTTTGAAGCTGGTATATCAAAGAATGGACAAACAAGAGAGCATGCTCTGCTTGCCTACACACTGGGTGTCAAGCAACTCATTATTGGTATCAACAAGATGGACTCCACTGAACCACCATACAGCGAGGACAGATATAAGGAAATCGTAAAAGAAGTCAGCACATACATCAAGAAGATCGGCTACAATCCGGACAGTGTTCCTTTTGTTCCCATCTCTGGTTGGCATGGTGACAACATGTTGGAAGTCAGTGGGAAAGTAAGCATCTAGTAATTCAGCATAATGTCACAACTCTGGATTACATATCTGTTGTATATCACTTGATGAGTATTTAACATCTAATTACTCTTGTTTCTTTCTTGGGTTGGAATAAGTGAATTTAATTTGGGTGTCAATGCAAACGTTCTAGTATGCTAACTTTTTTCCTTCTTTTCAAAGATGTCCTGGTTCAAGGGTTGGAAAATTGAAAAGAATAAGGAAACTAAAACAGGCAGTACCCTTCTGGAGGCCCTAGACTGCATTCAGCCTCCAGAACGCCCTACAGCTAAACCTCTCCGTCTCCCCTTGCAGGATGTCTACAAGATTGGTGGTATGTTCTGCTGTATTAATGTTTTCTGTGTAAACTGTATCTAGGAGCTTGAATTTAAGTATTCATACTGCATTTACCATTTTAAGGGCCAGCATTGATTTATATAATAGCTTCCTTTTTTTTCTCTTTTGGTATATGTGATAGGTATTGGCACAGTACCAGTTGGTCGTGTTGAGACAGGTATTCTTAAACCTGGAATGGTGGTGCAGTTTGCTCCTGCTAACATTATCACTGAAGTGAAATCTGTGGAAATGCATCATGAAGCTCTTTCAGAAGCTGGTCCTGGTGACAATGTTGGTTTCAACATTAAGAACGTTGCTGTGAAGGATATTCGCCGTGGTAATGTTGCTGGTGACAGCAAAAATGATCCTCCACTGGAAGCAGCTTCCTTTGTTGCACAGGTGGGAAAATATTACTAAGTTTCACAATTAATTTTTAATACTAATTTTCCTACCTTGCAGCTGACCAGTTATCCTGAGACTTGGGCTTGAATGTCATATTGTTTGAAAGAGGTCATTCCTATGTATTAACTTTCATTAGTGATAATAGGCTGTTTGAAATTGGCCTGTTTTGATCATCGTTCATGATCGGTATCATCCTGATTTTTAAATGTTCATGCAATAGGCAGCTGTTCCCTCAGTACCTTGTTTGTCATATTCCTTAAAACTTTGGGATCTCTTCAGTATTAGAACCCAAAATAGGTCAACGAGACACTCGGGTTATATACAGTTAGCTGCCTGGAATTTGGCTTCTCAATCCAAATAGCCCTAGTGTCCTATTTTTGTAAATTTATTTGTCAAGTTACTAATCCATGTCCTGATATTTCTTTAGGTTATTATCCTGAACCATCCTGGACAAATTAGTGCTGGTTATGCCCCAGTACTTGATTGTCATACTGCCCATGTTGCCTGCAAGTTTAGTGAGCTGAAGGAGAAAATTGATCGTCGTTCTGGCAAGAAGTTGGAAGATGGCCCCAAATTTGTGAAATCTGGAGATGCAGCCATTGTAGATATGACTCCAACCAAGCCCATGTGTGTGGAAAGCTTCTCTGCATATCCACCTCTTGGTATGTTTATACTCTTGACAACTGATTTTTGTTTTCAAATTGGACATATTCACTTCTTGTAGATGGGACTGACATGATTTTTTTTTTTGGTCCAGGTCGTTTTGCTGTCCGTGACATGAGACAGACTGTGGCTGTTGGTGTGATCAAGAGTGTTACTAAGAAAGAATCGACTATGAGAACTACCAAGGCTGCAACTAAATGTTTAAAGAAGTGAATGTCACTATCAGTCACTCTAGTTCAGCAAGCCCTGTCGAGACTGACGCCACCAAAATGTTTGTTCGTTACCAGCCAAATATGTGTGTTGATGAGAGACTGGATATTGATTAAGATGCATCGCAAAAAATTCAGAAGGAAAGGAGGAATGAAGGAATCAGTGTCATTACAAATGCCCTTTTCCTTTTCGTTTGAGTGATTATAACTATTATGGTTGTGTAACAATTAAAACTAATGAACATCCAGAATGTGTTGAATGACTTTTTCCCAAAAGTGATGAGTATGCATTAATCTCCAATGCAGCAGTCCAGTCTTAAACTGAATGTCCTCTCTAAAAATTTTTGTTAATCATGATTTCTCTTCTTGAAACAATACATTCTAAGGAAATGAGAATTATAGAAGGCCTATTAGAAGGTACGACATCAAAGATTGCTACACGAATACAATATAAGTAACATGAACACATTCACTAGCTAACTCTTTTTAAATCAGAATGAAGTGTGATCATTTAAGATCATATTTCCAAATTGGGAATTGTCTTTGGAAGCTACAAACTTTTAAGGTTACATTCCTTTCAATAAATGGTAAAGAAGTTGCTGCAGCTGTTTGGCATGCAGATGAATATTGGAACTCAGCAATCTTTATTGCTGATAGCGCCATTGTTATCAGTGCCTGTAACCAATAGCAACACTTATGCCAAAAAACATTTGGCTGTTTTGTTGCTGGCTGCATTGGAGCAAGCTGTGCTGCAAACTTCACTTAAGCAGTGGAAGTAGTGAGTAGTTTGCTCTGCTCTGAGCTGGACTCTGGATCAATGGTTTTTCATTTAATAGTGACCTCTTCAATGGTTTTAACAACTTGATAGGTGAAGTTGACCATAGTAGTCATTTTGGGGCCAGGGAAGGCCAATTGTTTAAAAGTTCAGGGACAGTCCACTATTTGGCTAAGGGGT